AAGTCAATTAGGAGTAGGACATAACGTTTTAAAGTGATTATAAAACGTTAGATTTCTTTCAAGGGTTGGCGCATAGTGTCTGATTGCCATTAGGCAATTAGCATGCATTTCTCTCTCTCTCTCTCTCTCTCTCTCTCTCTCTCTCTCTCTCTCTCTCTCTCTCTCTCTCTCTCTCTCTCTCTCTCTCTCTCTCTCTCTCTCTCTCTCTCTCTCTCTCTCTCTCTCTCTCTCTCTCTCTCTCTCTCACTCTCTCTCTCTCTCTCTCGACTCAAAAAAGTAGAAAATCTTTCGCCTCCAGGATTTCAATACGTAGTTTAACACCTCATGGATACGAATCAAACAGGTAGAAATCCTCAAAATCCTTGTTAACTGTATACTTATTTATCATCATCATCAAGTGTCTTGCCAGCTGCCGTAGGCCTTCAAGCGTCGCCACAGATCTCAGTCTTCCAATGATGATATTTCTCCATGAAACTGTCTTAAGCCATCCACCATTGTTTCTCTTTGTTTGCCTCTGCCTGTTCTACTTGTGATCTTTCCAGTCGTTACGACATTCTCCAGTGCTCCTTGTTTACTGATATATAGTATATTTAAATCGGGGCACTACAAAACGGTTACAGAGGGACTTGTTGTCCATTGTGGGTAGGTAGAGCGTGACGGTGGAAAGGTTTCAGTGCCTGAAAATGTGTCCATTAATTTCATTGTGGTAGTTCCTACCATCCGTCCTTTTGATTGGAAAATGAGTCCAGCATCATGGATAAGGCTTTTTTCACTGCTTCCTGCAAAAGTGAGTATAATACGCTGACCTTTGCTGCTTGAATTGTTACTTTGAGGTTCCCCGTTTATTGGTTGCTATTCTTTGGAAAATGTATGGTGTACGCTTTAAGCCAGTATTTGTTCAAATATACAGTATCATATCCTTGCATTTCTCGCTCACTGATCTGCCTTAGGTATTTGCTTCAACTAGCAATCAAATGTGGCTTTCAACAAATATTTCTTCTACCTACTTGCTGCAGCTCACGGCCGGTGTTCGAAACAGGGTGGTTCCCGGGTTTAACCTAGCCTCTAGGTAATGGGTACCACAGTTAACACTCTGGGGTAAATGGAGGAAAGTTGCTGTCGCTACAGAGTTGCGCAGGCAGCTGTTCGTGTTGATGGCAGAGCACTTTTGGTTTATAACCGTGTGCAATGATGCTGGTTCACAATTCTGATTTTACCTTTACCTTTAGGCAGTTTTCGAGAAAATAGTTTGCATGTGTGTTTATGAGATGTTGAACGAACTATAGCGTTGCTGGTCGTGTTTAGGAATCTCACACGATCACCAGAATCACGGATCCTCTGAAGTTGTGAGTTGTGAAATCATGACCAGCAGGTGCTACAGAGGTGAAAATCCAACAGTTGATTCACAACTCACGCCCAGGTGATCTGATTATCTATACAGATAGTTCGGTGTTGAGAGAAAAATGAAGTGCCTGGGGGTTCGAAGTGAAAGCCAGTGGAAAATCTTGAGTGCAAGACAGCCTAGTATACGACATCACATCATCTAGCATGAGAATGGAGGTGGAGATGGTAACTGCAGCTCTTCGGTGGCTAGAGAAAAAAATGCATACACATGTCGTAATTATAACAGACTCTGAAAGCATGCTGAGAAAGGTAAAGACAGGGAGCAGAGTGGCAAGTTTCACTGGCAAGGTCACGGGCAGTGAGCGTACTTTGGATCTTTTCTCTAGGCAATGCCGGCGTAGTGGGTAATAAACAGGCAGACAGATTGGCTGGATCTGCACCACTGGGTTGTGAAATGATACATGACATGGCAGATGTGGTCAATGTCCTTTGGGAACAAGCAACGGAATCAGTAGAGAAACAATATTATTATGGCCTGGAGAGGATGAGGCACCTGGGTGTAATCAGAGGGTCTGGCCGGTTCACTACACTCACAGGAAAGACAAGACGGACATATAACTAGATTGTGACAGGTACCATCAGTATTGGAACTCTATACTGGCTGCTGAAGTTGAGGACGGAGCACGCTGTGATGTTATACTTGACTGAACTCAACTCAACTGATTCTACTGGTGACAGCAATGGGAGCATACAACATGAAAATATAAACACCAATAGGCACATGAAAACCATACAGAATAAGGGTTGAAGGAGTCACTGATGCCTTGAGACTCCACATCATCACAATATACCAGGCAATCGAATGTGCCCTAGCTCGGATACCTATCCTTTCTTAACCTGCGACACAAAACAAATTATGGAAAACGAAAGAAAGGCGACAGTGTTGAGGGCCAGAGTGTCTGAGATGAGCTGGGTTATCTTTACAGCACTCCGGACGGGTCCATGGGTGCTCAGATTCCCCCTTCAACGTATCATTCAGACATGTGCTGGTTAACAGGACCTCTTGTACCTACGATGGATGTGCCTCTCATCCTTGCCTGTGCAGATTGTTGCTACAAATTGTCGCATTCTTAGAATGGGTGTGGATACCCTGCTTCAAGAATCTTCTGATCGTCCTATCTCTCTAAAACCGTCAGCAATGTTTGCGTGATTCATAGGCTTGTCATCTGCAGCTAAAGCAGAACCGGCCAATCGAAAAGATCTTTGATTGCCATGAACACCCGCATACCGTGGGACACAATAAAAGTGAGCAGTGGGTCTACTCGCCCTATCCTCTGTTTAAACTGGGCTCCCAGGGCGTACACTGGAAGAGAGAGATTTGAACCCAAGTCTTCCGAGTCCATGGTTAAATGCCTACAACGTCGCACCACTTGTAAATTATTCGTTCCATTCATCTTCTGTCGTCACAGTTCCCTTATCACAGTTGTCACAGTTCTCATTTCTTGCCTCTAACCAGGTTCAAGATGAAGAAAGGTGTTACCCGCCATTGACAGAATAAATATCAGCACATAGAGGATTATGATTAATATGCTGACGTCACTGGGGAATTCTCTTCCTGGTTTGGGCGCGCAGTAGTAAATTTTGATGATGTGAATGTTTGGTACAGAAGGTTAAACGGGGGTTGATTTTTTTGTTTTGTTTTTTATAAATGAATGGATGGATGGGTATGTTTGGTACGTATCTCATCACAAGGCCTCCTCGTGTGGGTTATGGGGCCTAATTTTAGGGGTGCAAAGAATATACTCTCCTAACACGCATGACTTATGAGACAATTGATCAGTGGTAGTTTTGAAATCTGAATAATCTACCTGAGAGTTAAGGAACTAAAAGTCTGCACACAAATTATCTAGATCTGTAAAACAGATTTGCACGCACGTTAGAAAAAGACCACAGTCCAGAAGAGAACTAGCAGTCCGAACTTTCCGATGGAGTTTACAGCCAGTGAACGCTAAGGACAAGGAGAAGACAACACCACCGACTTCCTGACTGTGAATAATTCTCCCATTAATCTTCTATACACGACGCCTCCATCAATGACATCTTAAGACAGAGGACGGGTTTGATAGCCGGCTGAAGAAGTCGCCTTACTTGTCCCTGCCGTCAGTCGCACATTTGATGTTTCACTAAAGGATATCGTTTATGCTGGGTTCCCTTGTGCTTCAAATATTCTATTAGGGTATTCCTATATTAAACATAGAAACTGAAACACTGAAGAATGCAAATGTAACAGGCTGGTGGGATATGTTTACCCTGTTAATGATTTGGGTTTGGCTACACTTGCAAGCTAAAATTGGCAGGTATGCAGATCGGGAATCTCCGGAAGTACCCAGTGAGTCGAAAAGTTGACATAATGCCCAGCGCAGCAGAACAGGCATTTGCTCTTTGTAATTTGGTCTCGACAGTTGCCATAGGGACATGTAGTTCTCCCATCGTTGCGGAACTGTACGGGGTTTTCAAGTGAGTCTAGGGAGATGAACTGGCGTACTATTGGATTCATGTTCAGTTGTTAGATTATGCTAGATCTAGATTCGATTAGCACATAGTCGATTTGAAGACGTTTTTAACTATTAATTGTTCATTGTTAACACGTCAGTTTTCTGTTCAGAAAAAAAAAACAGATGTTGAATGTGATTATTATATTCCACTTGTTTGATTCAGAATATGACGAAGTTCGTGCACCTGGTCTTGCTAGGCGCTGCCTATATATTTATATGTTGTAGTTTTTGTGCAATCCACTATTCACGTATTCATCACCTGAGCCATGAGTAATATATCAGTGTTCCTGCACAGAAGAACCCTTGTCTTTTTTTTTTTTTTTTTTTTTGCAGTCCAGCGGGAAACTACTTATTGCCCTAACCAAGTTTCTTTTCTCGCCTCTCTGCTCATTTTATCATACTTTTCGTTTTCCGCTAGCTCGCAAAGACTTTAATAGAATGATATACAAACAAACGAGGATCTCCTCCCCGAGACTGATGGAACCCTAAACTAATTAGTTAACCCACCTACAGATTAGTAATTGATATTGATTCTATTTACACTAACACTGTGTTTATTTTTTTCAGTTTACAGGGAGAGGCAAAGCGCATTATCACACTTTACATGACACACTACACAACACAAAATAATATATATATATATATATATATATATATATATATATATATATATATATATATATATATATATATATATATATTCTTTTATTCGCCTGTAAACCAAAATAACGCTATTACTTTATCTCTAAAAAAACGCACGTGGTGATTTTCAGCCATTTTATTCCTCTGCTATTTCTAAACTGCAAAGACTGAAACCAAGCGTAAAACTTAATTAAATACGTACAAACGCTTCTACTAAAAAGTCTTTATCAGCCATCAATACAACAAACATATTTTTGAACAGAAACGAATTTAAAGCATAAACAAATAAAGTAATCTTACCGAAAGATAAACGGAAACCAGAAATTAATTCAGGGAATGGAAATGTGATAAATGATGTTCATATAGGAATGTTTCAACTGGCTACCTATTTCTAAACCAGTTTGACGAAATGTGACCTCCTAAAAACGACCATCTTTGACCTCGATTATATTTCTTCTAATGGAATTTTGCGAGAGATTGTACAATTCTACAAACGCCACCACGAGGGAGCAACACTCTGGGGTGGCAAACATCACCCGGCATCAATACTTACAAATGTGCATCCGGTCTAGGAAAGGAATCCCCAGTGACGTCAACACATATATTATTATCCCGTATGCTGTCATATTTCTTCTATCCATGGCGGGAAACACCCTGGTGATCTTGACCCTGGTGAGGCACAAGAAAATGAGGACAGTGACGAATATGTTTCTGTTGAACCTGGCGGTCAGTGACCTGTTGCTGGCCTTGTTCTGTATGCCGTTCACGCTGGTTCCTCTGCTGATGCAGGAGTTTATATTTGGGCCTATTGTCTGTGTGCTGGTGAGGTACGCGCAAGGTAAGACCTTTGTGTTTGTTACATGTTTTGTGTCTATTAACTACGGACGTTGTTAGTGTTTTTTTTTTTTTTTTTTGCTTTGGTAATTTGCTCTTTGGGTGGTAGGTTGTCTCGTAGGTTGTTAATTAGTTCTGACTGGTCTGTATGCTGGCTCACTGAAGTGGTTGATTAGTTGGTTGGTCGATAGGTTATTCAGGCATTAAGATGTTTCGATGTATGATTGATCTGTTAGTGAACGTTTAGTTTATTTCTCAGTCTGATGTTTGGTTAGTTGGATTTTTGGCTGCCTGTTTAAGCAGTTATATGTTGTTGTTGAGTTGTTGTTTTTTTGTTGTTGTTTTTTTTTTGTTAGATATGAAATATGAATGCTCTGTTGGTTGAATCTTTGTTTGTTTGGTGTCACATACCGCTAGTGTCGCGTGCCTGATTTAAGGATTGCTCCTTAAGAAACAACAGCACTCTGAAATAATAATGTTAAGGCGTTGGCGCGTATTGGTCTAAGGGAGATCCCTTGTCCAATATACGCCCAGCTTATTTCAGGAGTAGGGCAACTCAAGCTCTGGCACTATAGAATATATACTATTCCTAGGCACATTTGGCTGGACACCCCCACTACTATAAAAAGGTAGCCCCCAGGTTATGATAGTATATTATCATAACCATGTTAACACAGATTACACTTATTAATCACACAAACATAAAAGCTAGACAGTTAGAATGGTGAAACAGGGACACCCAAGTCAGCCATGAAAATTTCTGAAAAAAGTTGTAATGATTTCAACATATATATATATTGTACATATGTATGTGTATATATATATATATATATATATATATATATATATATATATATATATATATATATATATATATATATATAAATCTCAAGACAATCAAGATGGTTTCCAGTGAATGAAGTCAGGACTCAACCTCACAGCGATGATATTGAAACAGTCAGACACAGTTCCTGGAGTACATGATTCATCACTGTGATTTATTTGTAACCATGGAAGAATAGAGCATGTAGGCCATCTCAGAGTTTACTTAACCAATCTGGTAGGTCACTGCTCCCCTCAGTCCATAGTGATTTAAACCGGCTGACTCAATAGATCGCTTTTCCTCTGGTTGACCTGGTAAACACTGATCGTCTCACATATGAGGGCAAAGGAACTGCATTGGAGCCCAACAAAGCTCCTGAAGAAAGCTTCCTTGGATTGATGACACAGGTGGCCTGCAATACTGTCTCTCAGCCACTGGAACTCACACACAAACTCCTGCCATGTTGAAGTTCTGCCAACAATAGGTAGGGTTTTGGGTAGGTTTGGTGATAGGAATGGTATGGGTTGGTGGTTGTTGGTTAGTGGACTGTGATTCGTCTGCCTGACTTCTAAGGAGATTTCATCCTGCCAGGAAAGAACTCAGAATTAGTAATCATCTTAAGATGCACACACCAGCTCAACTTATCTCCCGCTACCTTTCCAAGTCACTCAGAGTTTACTCTCAAGAACAGGAGACCATGTCTCCTTTCATCTGTCTGTCTGTAAGTCCGTTCACTAGATAGAAGACCAGGTACATCGTGGTGATAGATAGACACTACTAAACATAGATCATCCTCTCTCCACCTTCCCATCTGCACCCGCAGACATACATCCTATCCCGTTAGTACATGTACACACTTCATATCTCCACAATCTGCCCACTACACACCCAATGTCGTGCTAAAGTTAACCTTTGACTCAGAGCGCCGAGCTTGCTTAAGTCAAAGCATCTAGCCGGCTAAAGGCTGACTCAGTTTACATATCTCTGCTAATCGACACTCCGTTGTCTGGTTAGATAATAATTAACTTGTTGGGTTTAATATCTTTACAGTGGTGTGTGTCATGTATGGCACAAACTAGTTAGCCTGTGAAGGGAAAGGTTTGATTTAAGGCCTTGAGTATCTGGATATCAAAAACGGCCCAGTTCTGCGCGATCACACTGCTGAATCTTTCCTCCCTGCAGCAGTGGCCAACTTTAAAGAGACATATATCATGGTACTCGTAAACTATAATCAACTTACCCGAGCTTAGGAATCCTTCAAGGATTAAACCGGTACGTTGAAAACGCCAAAATTATTGAGAGAATTGAAATATCTCCCGAAACCTTCGAGGTCTGGCAAAAGAATGCCCGCCCCAGACTAAGCTTGGCGTCTAGAAAAGAAGTCCTGTATTTGTGCCGAAGGAGTAAAAAGGATTGTAGGAATTTCTGAATAATATTTAGGAAATATTTATCCCACAGTTGCAAGTTTGAAAATGTAGACTTCTCAAAACAACTAGAGGGTATATATTAATATGATGGACTATAATCCCCCCCCCCCCCTTCCCAAGACGGGTTTTAATTTGAAATGTGACATGCCGGCTGGGGATGTCAGCGTCACGACTAATCCACAGTGTAGGGTTGGCTGTTCGCTCCACGACATTTGGTTGATTGTCTTTTTTTTTTTTTTTTTTAGGCCAGTTCAATGGTTGTTTCCGTGAATCTTGTTCAACTATTTCTGTAGCAAACATTTAATATCATTATCATGCGAATATCAAGAGCTCTCATCATTCACCTCAATCCCTGGAAATCCCGAGCCTGTTATTCTGGAAGGTTAATATTGATATACTTCTTCCTTACTTCACTTGATCAAATCTCATTCCAAATTATAGATTCATAACCTAACAACTATCTGGGCAATAATGTAGATACAGATTGTGGGGGGGGGGGGGGGGGGTTATGGATTTATGGAGATATTAAAATACGAACGCGAAGGGCAAGAGAAGTTTTCATAGCGCTAGGAAACCTACGAAAATTACACGAAATCAAAATTAATAACAAACTCAAAGCGGTTAACTCTGAAATCAAATTAGTAGATCTTCATGAAACAGAAGCTTGGAGAAAAGATAACAGTTACTAATCAACTACAAACTACTAACTGCGGCCTTCGCAGAGTAGACGGAATTAAAGGGTGTGATAGAATCACTAATGTTCAGAAGTGTGGGAGATCTAATCAAATTTAAATAAATCAATAATTTACTTTATAATGAAACTGTTGACGATGACGATGATCACGACGATAATGATGAGGACAACGATAATGATAATGATGATGATTGTCAAAACCTTTTATTTACTGGCGTGCCGGCATGCGGCTCGAAATGTCTATCGCTACAAAACACTTAGCCCAACACTACATGAGCACACATATCAGTTGTAATGTACTTCAACATGGAGCGTAGTTAGTTTACCCCAGAGGGGGTTTCCGACCCTACCACAAGAGACCGTGAGGGTCTTCACAATCAACACTCACTCCAAGGTCCTCTTAGTTGTTCCAGGTATTACCTGTGTCTTAACCAAAAATCATCCTATTCAAATTAGTTTATAACCTTAGGTATATATAACCAGAATGCAAAACTACTGGCTAGGGTGCGTGGATAGATTCTGTCGCATACCTAAACAAAACCCTCCTCGTTAACGTACTGTTAAACACATAAATGGATCGTGGCACAATCAGCACAACAACTGAACACCGGCTAACGCTAGAAATATTCTACCATACGACTAAACACGTTATAATACAAAAACAAGTCGATATTCTACATCTAACACGGAGCATAACTAGCCGTCAGAGTTCAGTACGCGTCCCGTCAAAAGTCTGACACAAGTCGCCACACTGACCTCCAGATCTCTCCTCAAAACGTCTGTTACAGGTATTTGTATTACATCTCCACACTCACCGTTCGCCTGTCAGAACCTCCGGAACCTGCAAGTGATTCTATTCCCTGGTCAAGGTATTCTGCTGGCCGTGTCCGTGTGTCCCTGAGCACTAGGTCAAGTCGCGGTCAGCTGAGTGCTCACCCGCAAATTCATCACCTTTTATGGACATCTCATAGCCGCACATGAACCTGACAATTACGATGATGATGATGGCAAAGATTATGGCGATGATGATGATGTAGATGACAACGACGACGACAGTGATGATGTTAATGACGATTATGCTGATGACGATAATGAAATGATATTTAGAAAGAATTATGAATGATGCTTTACAAAAACCTAAAAGAACATATATATATATATATGTTTGTTTTAGTATCCAGAAGCCATGAGTTGTTAATCTTTAGGCTCGGTATTATGGATATCTCAACCTTTCGGCCTTGATTCCATTATAAATACCGTAAATCTGTGAGAAATGTGGCTTTTCTGCCTACCCCCGGAAGAAAACCCGGACCACAAGGAGTTCGTCACCCGGTCACCGCGCAATTCCGTTTAGCCAACTACGCTAGAGAGCCGGATATATATATATATATATATATATATATATATATATATATATATATATATATATAGAGAGAGAGAGAGAGAGAGAGAAAGAGAGAGAGAGAGAGAGAGAGAGAGAGAGAGAGAGAGAGAGCGAGAGAGAGAGAAGGACGAATGATAACAACCCTGTTTTGTTGATAACGTCAACGAGTGGGCCAGGAAAGATGAAGAGCTAGTCGAACTGGTAAAAGTTGCTAGACGAAGCATCAACCAAGTATGGCATGGAAAGAAACGCACAGAAGACTGAAATAGAAACCAATAATCCAGTTGGTATAACTAAAACCCTTATCATCCTTGCTTAAATGCACTTGCTGTCAATGTCTATATATTACCACGTCCCTACACGCTATTATTATGTTAACTCCGTTTTCTCAACCCTATTAAGAAAATCTCCTTCGAATCATACTTTGATTTCTCCAGCAATAATTTGGGATTCTTTTATGCTCGCTCCAAATTACGACATGAAAGTAACAATTATGAAACTCCGTTTATCTTGTCCAGTTCAGGTTTTTCGTAGGAAGAAATTATATCCGCTACGGAACGAGAATGTCCTAAATGCCAACGTGATTTGAGGTCAATAGATTTCGGAACAAAGACTGGCAGAATTATTTTTTTTTTTTTTAGCTCTTCGAAGAATCTTCAGAAAATTGCTTGACAAG